CGACTGTGGCAGCAAATGAAAGGTATATCTGCGGAGAGCCGGTCAGAGGGGAGCAAAGAGACATATATTTGTACATCAGAGCCTGCAGTCCCTGCGTGTAAAACAGACTAGCCACATTGAGGTCATATGCGGTGAGAGTGAGTGACGATCGCGCCTGTCATCCACAGTCGAAATACTAGGTTTAGGAGCCCAAAATGAAAGCAACTGGATGTTGCATAGGGACGCGATACGACAGCAGAGCGTATTGCGGACCAGAGTTGTCGGTCTTCCAGACCTGTGTTGTTGTTGTGATGACAAGAGATGTGGTAGCGAAAACGTGCCCTGAACCAAGGAATTTGCTGGGCGAAATGTGACGCACTCACCTTGTGACGCGATGAACACGAGAAATACAGCACGAGAAGTGTGAGTTGCCCGCTGTTGTGGGAGGATATACCGCTAATGCAGCAACGCAGTATGAGAGCAGGCGTGGCGGATGCGTTGTGAATTTACCCTCCTGCTGGCGTTCCTCTAGAAGCGGAAAAGAGAGATGCGACGATGACAGTTGGTGACTTTAATTACAGGGCGAAAGCTAGCGATTGAGATAGAGAGAGAGCGTGGGATGTTTGAGTCGAAGGTGCATCGACGAAAGAAGCATCGTCAAGGGGTTTGTTGACGTGCCAGAAATGTGCTTTTCTGATCACGACCTCGTCTCTCCCGCACCGGTAGTTATCAAGTCGTAGGAGCACAGAATAACATCGCTCCAAGGTTTTCGCGAATAGCCGTTGTGTGAAACATCAGCCGGATACATTACCGCAAGCAATCTTACATAGTTTCGACCGCGGTTTCGGAATGCATGCTGTCTGTCAACGCCAAATATGGTTCGCACGACGCATAAGCTTTTCAGCCTAATTCACGACTCAATATACAGACGAGAAGATGGTAGGGCCATTTGTCGGCGTTCGGTAACACCCGCGGATCTCTGCATTCAATGTTGCACGGCGCGTGGAGCAATGCGCAACATGCTGTGTACCCCGCGCGGCTACGTGTCTGGCTTACGGAGATTGCCCAACATGAATCCACCGAAGGAGATGTCGCGAGTAAAGTCTCCACAATCCTAGCTTTTCCGTTAATCTTTCGTGCCGTTTGAGGCTCGACAAAGCACCGACGCGCCTAGCGGATGCTTACGGCGACCGACGGCGGGGAATAAGGTAAACTGATTCGCATACATGATAGTGGAACGTTGCAAGACTCCGGAAATAGTTGATTGCTGATTTAAATGGTTCCTAATTGAGACGCTAATACAGGTCATTCGTGCCGCTAGCCGTAGCTGACTGCGTTGTGTATCCTCATACAAGTATTCCGCATGGGGCCACATGCGCAAACCGCCAGGCGGTCATCTCGTTCATTACATCGTGTGTATCGTCAAATTGCCAGTCGAAATGCTGGAAGTTTCCGTTCGAGTGCTTAGATGTCGTTATATCCGAGAAGCATCTTTGGCAGATCTTTATCCGCGACCGCCCAGGCCCAGGCACGACCTGCCTCGCCACACCATAGGGAAGATGGATCTTCCGATTTCTCAAGCATTCCGTCTTTGGCCATCGACTTGATCTCATGGCCTGTGGTGTACGTCAAGAAGTGTTCGAATTGCTTTCCATCCAGAGCGAGAGCGTTTCCAGTGATACCATGACAGAGACATGGCTCCTTGGTGAGCAGGCCTCTTTCCCAGATGCATTCTCTAGCTTTTGCGACAACACGATCAATGCGGTCTTGAAGTTCTGGGAAATATTTTCGGATTGAGAGAATGGAGTTGACTACACCCGGTGCGCCGTGACAGACTTCAACAAGCTTGTCACGACCTGGTGGGAGAGATGAAGGAAAGTTGCCGCTCTCGTATTGATAGCTGAGCAGGGCGCCTAGCTCGGCCTCCAGCTTAGATGCCCAGGAAGGGTCGGTGAGCACGATCTGTGTAATGATACCGATTGCGCCATGAACGGCACCCACGTATGCCTTCCCATGCCACTTCCAGGGACGCGGACTTTGCATGATGTTTTCGATGACCTCATCGGCCGTGTCTTCGATGAGCTCGGTCACGTCCTTGTTGTGAGCGAACGCCCCGCGGACCAAGCGGAGGAGGTACAGATAGCCAGCGCGACCGTATAGCCATTCGTTGGAGGTCTCATCCTCAAGCATGACTGCAGCATGATCGCAGAGCTCCTTTACAGTGTCTGGGTCTTGTGCAGTCACGGCGTAAAGGGCAAGCAGAGACATGATGTCGTTGGAGATACCGCATTTCTTGGGAGATGGCGGCGGAAACTCCTTGATATGAGCCTGAGCTTGTTCGATGTAAGCCGCAGACCATGTGTTCAAGGGGTAGTCATCCAGCTTAAGATCCGGGTAGATGTTGTGCAGGGCATAGAAGAGGTAGGCTACTGAAATCGGTCCGTAGTATAGACCACCGCCTGGGGGTACATGATGCGGAGGATAGTCGGTAATCAATCGATCCAATGACGCTAGCAGTTGCTTGTGAGGATCTCGTCGTGCCAACGGCGCATCATTTCGAAAATAGCGGGGTATCGAGGGAGGCGGCGCTGCTTGTGTTGCCGAATCTGCAGGCGGCGCGCCGTCTTCGGACATGATGATAAGAGTATATTGAGTCGAGTTGATTCAAATCTCTCGTTGAAAAGCGAACGGGTAAAGTTGGCGCAGATTTAGGCATGCGCGAGTGACGGAAGGGTGTGAGATCGTAGCTGCCCGGCTGTGACGTCAGCGGGGCTAGTCGTCGGTGATTGGTCAGCTGCGGCAGTCGCAGGCTAGAACGAAAATTGGCAAACATCACACCAGGAACTCCATGTGCTGCGCTGGTGCAATCTCGAAGTTTCTAAGCTACCGGAGCTATGGGGTATCTGAATCTCCTTCTCGTCTGATGCTGTGATCAGTATTACTACATTGACTCATAACATTCTTCCGTCTAATTTCGACGCCTGCGTCTCGTACAGTTACAGTATTCATCACATCTCGCTGATTTGATATGTCCCAGCGACTTCTGTTGTAACATGACCATGATCGAAGAAAGGACTAGCCATGGGCAGCATGGCCTGGCCATGGTATGGGCTCAGCGGGAAGTTCAGAGAGACGTGCCAGCGAGTCGTTGCGATGTAGTTCATGCTGACCTATCTCTCGACTGTCTAGCTGGGGTGGATCTTCTGGTTCCGTGATCGAGTCTGCTCTGTAAAGTGCTGCTATTTTCTGCTGGAATTGGGTGGATGCTTTCCCTGGATGGAGTCAGCACTGTGTACCGAAGATCGAGGCATAACGCGTGGGCTTACTTGATAACTGCGATGTCATATCGTCACCGACTAAAGGAGAAGGGTATGTGGCTGCTTTGTATACTTTCGCCCGCCGTCTCTTTTTTAGGTATAGCAGTATAGAGGCGATCAATGCGCACAAGATGACTGTGCCTAGCACTGCGCCGACCACGGGCGCTACGATCGACGACTGAGCGTGACCAGCTGATACTGTTGCGTTGATAGACGGTGTCGCTGTGGCTGATGAGCTCAGTGTAACAGTCTCCAACGAGGACTCTTCTAGGCTGAATGTAGACCCAGTATCAAGGGACGACCCAGAGGCCGTTGGAGAAGCTATTGAAGAAGTCGTCGCGGTGATGGATATCATCAAGACCGATGTAATTGGTGAAGGCGATAATGTATGTGAGGCTACTCACGGTCAGCTCTTACAAACGCTCAACATACTGGGTGTACTTACATCGCCCTGGAGTCCGGTCCTTGTCGGCAGGACAGGTACTACCTGGCATGCATGGGTCTATCGTGCAGCAGCCACGGAAGTCGTTGCACTTGTAGAACACGCCTCCCTCCGGGCATGAGCCATCGTCTCTTCCTCGAAGTGCGGGTATCATTGTGTGAGGTTAAATTTCTTGATCGATGGATGATAACGATAGGACGAGAGCGACCAGATATGAAGGTGCGACCACGACCATGATCAAGCCTCATTAGCATGTTTGCATCAAACCATCATCAGACGCAAAGGCAGTGCTGTCGTGGGCCGCCGAGGCGACGCAAACAAAGCGGTGCATCGCAAGGGTGCTCCTTACTGCGCTTCCACGCGAAACGCTCTGCCCGATGCAGCCATGAGGTCAAAGAACTATTGACGCTGCTCTTTGTGTGCCTATAAACGTCGTTCGGAAGCTCAACTCATCCTCAGGGGCCGCGTGTGTCGATGTGTTGATGGAATCGTGGGATGACCTCGGATGCAGAAGTAGCTAGCCCCCCGGCGGCCCCGACTTCCCCTTCTCGCGTAAGAACTAATGACACCATACCAACAACGCCACAAATATTGCGAACGTCGCCCAGCCATCGCATTCCACATGGATTATTGACACTTCTCACATGATGCATCCGGGAAGATTCGTGCACGCGTAATTGCACACATCTCGGTGGTCTGACCAGGTCATGTCACGCGGCTACGCGTACCGATTCGCAACAGCAGCACGCGACGCCATCTCGGCCCGGCTGTGTGGGCCATAATTGTCGAGAGGAATCTACTACGCGGCAAGATGCAACACTTCGACAAATATTGACAGACCTTTAGATACCGTAGACAAGCTTCTCAGCGCTGACAGGCCGCATCCACGATACAGTGCGGATGCCACGTTTTTCCTCCATACCACCCGCACCAAGTAGCTGGAAGCCATCCTGAACCACACTTTCTAGACCACCCAGCATCAATCTGATCGGAGCTGGACTCAACGCGGAACCCATACAACCGTTGAGCCATGCATCACAAACATCGCTATCGACCTAGGCACGGGTCTGCCTGCGCAAGGCTTGCTAGTTCGCTTTTATTCTATCGATATCAATGTATCTATCGCGATAGCACCACCTCTCTTTCTCGTCGCACCGGCACTCCGGGCTCTGTTGCGCCTTCCGCATGCTAAAAGGGAAAACGAAAGCCAGCTCAAGCTACTGTGCTTTGTCTTTACCAAGAGTCGCCGTTCCGCCGAAGTACTACAAGGCTACCTCAACGATAGGCCCGACATATGTTTTCTTGCCTCTTACAAAATACCAGACGATGGCGAATAGTACGGTCCCTCCAAACGTGACTGAGCTGAAGTTCATTGATTGTGCATCAACCTTGACCGAGCCCGGCCAGAACGAGAAGAACCACAGTACGAACAGATAGACGCAGGCGAAGATGTTGTTGGCGACGCCAAACGCACCCGGAACTTTCCAAGGGCCCCATTGCAGCGACTCTGGTCCTACCATCGCAGCTCGCGCGTTGTAGGGACTGATGCCCTTGAGACGTCGCCACAGAAGCAGGGCGCAGACGATGAAGTATGAAGCGTAGAGGCCGCCGATACTGAGGTTGACGATGTTACTGAAGGCGACAAACGAGCCGAGTGCGATGAACGACAGAAGCACACTGATGACAGCAGTGATGAGGATCGTGTTGACGGGAATGAGCGTTCGAGGATTGAGCTGTGAGGGTCAGCATCAAGACGGCTGCGTGAACTGGGAGAGCTACTCACCTTGGTGACTTGAGCAGAAAACGGCATAGCGTTGTCTCTCGCGAAAGACCACATCTGTCGTGAAGTCGCAGCCATGAGGCCCACCAGACAGCAGACGCCGAGGGTCCACATGATCATAGCCATCGTCGCAGCCCCAGCAGCTGAGCCGGTACCTTTCAAGAACACGTATAGGTAGGGGTATCCGAGTGTTGCTGAAGACGCCAGAACATCGTCCAGGTCCCCAAGACAGAACAGATACGCGATCAACATCGCAAGACCAAGTGTGCCATTCAGCAAGACGCTGATCTGGATAGCTCGTGGAACGACTTTAGACGCGTTCTTGACTTCTTCGGCCATCTAAATTTGGATTAGCACGACCGCAACCGATCGGCGGAAGAGCAACTTACGTGCACACATGAATCAACACCTATCTGAATTAGCATCGATCTTGGCCCCGTCACTACATCAGGACAAACACTCACCAACCAGGGCGAACACGGATGATGGAAGCCCGACCATGAACGAAAGCGCCTGCGTCGACCAGCCCCCGGTGTTGACGAATGTGGTGAAGATTGAGGCATTGCTATGAGGAGCGAGATACACAAGCGGGATCAGGATTGCAAAGAAGCCCAGGATGTGGAGTATCAAGATCAATCCTTCGAAGTGTGCGAGTGTTTTGCTTCCGACCGTGTTGATGATGACCGCAAAGGCGAGCACAGCCCAGCCGAGCAGCATCGCCTGGTACGGCTTTGGCGAGTAGCTTTCGTCGCACATGAGAATTGTGCTCTGCAGAATGGTTCCGGCAAGGTATGCAGAAGAAGCGGTAGTGGCCTGCCAGCCAATGAGTGTCACCCATCCGGTGATGTAGCTCAGGAATCTCCTGTACGACGGCGGGGCTAGCATTGCTACCCAGCTAGGAGCATGTCAGCTACGAGAATTGTCATGATCGGGTTTCTTACTGGTACTGCCCACCCGCCGTGGGCGCCATCGACGACAACTCCGACAGAACCGTATAGATGGATAACGAACCAATCCATATAAGTATATAGCCCCAGAAGACACCTGCAGGACCACCATTGAGAAGACTGGGAGTCGAAACTTGGAGAATACCTTCCCAAGTCACCAGCACAGTACATGACTACGGAGACAAAGTCAGTGTATTTCACGCGTCCCATACACTCAAACTTACAAAACCCAAGATCTGCATGAAGCCAAAGTTACGTTTCAGCACAGGCTTCTTGCCCAGCCGCATGAGATCCCTGTCATCTCGAGTATAACCATCATGCTCGGCGTCCTCAATGGCCGAAGTGACAGCTTCAGCTTTCGTTCGGTTGCCAAGTTCCATGGCTTCGGATGAGATATGTAAAGAGGCAATCAAACAGAAGAGATAGGAACGAACACTGCAACGGGTGCGAGACGAACAAAAAGTAAATGCAGGCACTTAAACTAGCTATGATGCACGTCTTCGCGTTCAAACGTCGGTTACGCGAGGATTCATCCAGATTGTCTCGCTAAACACATTCAGCAGGTTACATGCTGTGCCGCATTCTCTGCCGCACTGCATGCCGCGCGGGGGTCTTGATAACGGCGTTCCGACGATGGTTCGAAGCTGCTCTTCTGTGCGCAACTTTGTTCACATTCGAACAGGAGAGCCAGATTCGCGATTTCGCATACACACGAAGTAGACTTTTAGTTCAGTACTACATACGCGCTCTACACAGCTTGAACTGGCTTTGAGTCCCCAGCTCTTCCCAGCTCAACAGTCGAACCCTTACCTCAATGAAAGGAGCCCTGTTGAATCCGCATCCTGCAGGATCCGGGTGGAAGCTGGATTAGGTGCCGCGGACGCTACCGTCCCGAGCGAGGCTTAGCATTGGCTAAGCATTGACGTCTGAAGCAGCCGCCATGGTCGCACAAACACCCACGGCATGTCCCGCAAGGCTCATTTACCGCTGCCTTCCTCTTTGCGTCTTGTCGACATGTGCACATGGTCTGCTCTCCGGCTGATTGGTGGTCTGATATGGATGTCTGCACGCATGTGGCGCAGATCTTCTAAGCGACCTATCACACCGTTGGAACATCATAACATGCTTGCGAAGCATACGCAAGCCTTTTGGGGTGATAGTACTATAGAGGTAAGCTTCCTGAATACCCTTGCGTATGCTAGCTCTCGAAAGGAGCATATTCACATGCCTACGTGGGTGTGATACCAGCCAAGCGGGTTCAGGAATCCTCGATGAAAGAGCTTCAAGGTGAGATGGGAGCAGGACGACATCATTTCTTTCGCCCTGAGACGTCCGTGGGCACCATGCGATTACAGCGTGTTGGATGGCGGCGCAAAGATAGCAACAGGAGAAGCTGAGTTCTTCGCGTTGGATTATATCCCTAATGCTTTAATCTCGGGAACGACCATCACGACATCTCAGCCCTACACTCCGAAACGTTAACCATCATGTTCTTCAGACGCAAGGCTATGGATGCTGGCAAGCGTCCTGCATTCCACGAAGGCTATGCAGCACCATTGATTCAGATTCTCGCATGGCTGTTCCTTGCCTTCGCGATACTAGCAGTCGTAGCGCAATTTGCGACCAAGAAAGCCATGTCCAAGCGTTTCGTCAAAGCCGACTTTGTGCTCCTAGTGGCCTTGGTAGGTCCTTGAGGAAGAGCAGCATGACTATGTGTACTGACAAACAGCATTGCAGGTTTTCGCAGCAGGACAGGCAGCGACTCTCCTCAGTTCAGCGGGCCAGCCGATTGGAAATCTACAGTCTGGCCTCGAACCGGATCAAATTGATGGGGCCTGGAAGGTATAGAGTACGGAAGCTTTGGAATGCAACGCTGACAGCGTTAGGCTTTGTTCAGCAGCGAGATTCTGAGCGTGCTTGCGATCGTTGCCGCCAAAGGCTCTTTGCTCGTCTCGCTGGCGTCAGTAACGCCTGTCGACACACACAGGAGGATGATGCGCGCTACAGGTGTTTTGACGGTGCTATGGGGATTGAGCGCTGTGTTCCTCATCGCCTTCCAATGCCCGTCTCCGCAAAGATGGAATATCACGAACCCGACGTGTATGGACCTCGTAAGTTTGATCTGCATCTCCTGGTATGAATCAGTAGCTAATACCATTCAGCGCGCCGTACGCACCTACAACGCTGTCATGAACATCGTGACTGATCTTGCGCTCGCCGGTGTACCGACACTGATGGTACTACCGCTGCAGATTACGCCGGAAAAACGTTTCACGCTCATCACAGGCTTCTGGTCACGCATAGTGTAAGTCGTGTTACGCTTTGTCAAGACTGCCTTACCACTCCGCTTGCACTAACAAAAATGATCACAGCGTCGTCTTTGCCTCAGCCGCCCAAATCGCATACATCCGCACCTTACCCCAACACGACGATCTTCTCCACTCAATATGGCACATCGTAGTCTGCGGGCAAATAGTACAAGTGGCCAGTATAATGACTTCGACCATCCCATTCCTGAAACCTTTTATGATGAGTCTCGACTCAGGCCTGTGGAGCGCACAGCATGCGGGTGTTGCTACGATGTCAGGTTACACATCCGCGGGTGTTACAGGGCATTTGTCAAGTTATATAGAGATCTCTAGTCAGCGAAGTCGCAACCCATCTTCTGCGAGAGGAGATAAAGATGCCGATATCTGGGTGCAGAAGGAGGTTGTAGTGAAAAGGGAGCCTAGTATTGAGTTACGTGAGATGGGGAAGAGTAGATAACACAGGATCGGTAAAGAAGATAAATATGTCGTACCCATCTTCAGCTTCCGCATTGCACTAGATGTTCCGCTGCGAGCACTTCCAGAGCCTTGTTCTCTCTCGATTACGACAGAACATGTGTCGCCCCGGCCCACTCTCCATTGGGCGCAGGGCGCACCTTCCATTCACCTTCACTCGCACGCGACGCACGACCGTTCCACAAGATCCACCCACCTAGGCAGCGCTTTCCCCACGCGCAAACGCTTGTCCAAGCGGTGACGTAGTATCACCACCGCGCTCTCACCTCCTCCGTCAAAAAGCTCTTTCCACCGCGCCTCCGCCTGCCTCACACCTCCCTTCCCTTCCCCAACGCAACTCGACCCACGAACAGTTAACCCACCACCATGCGCTTCCTCACCACCATCTTCCTCGTACTCGTCAGCCTCGCCGCTCTCGCAAGCGCGAACAACGATAAAAAGAGCGACGTGAGGAACTTCAGGGATGTCGTGAAAGATTGCGTTGTCGCGTGCAACTACGGTCCTCACTGCGCGCACTATTGCGAGTGCAAGGTGTACAAGCTTCTAGGCAAGAACATCAAGTGCAACAATGATCCGAGTAGGTGAAACAGCTGATACCCTGCGGCAGCCGTGGAGTGGGAGTTTGGATATTTCGCTAACACAGATTACAGCGTGCAAGAAGCCAGGGCCTAAAGGTTGCGAGAAGTACGAGCTCAGTGGCAAAGTTCGTCGAGACGAAGATACTTCTGCGGCTGTTGACCAAGCTGTGTCCGCGACTGTTGAGGAGGCTTCGTCCGAGACTGCTGCTCAGGTCAACCCTGGAACCATCAATTACAACCAAGACGCCCCCGAGGACTTTGTTCAGACTGCTGATGTCAACGGCGACGACAACACCTGCGCAACACAGGGCTGCTCCGAGGCCTTGCCGTATTGCCTCAAGGCGTGCGGCTATGGTCCCCATTGCGAGGGTTACTGCGCCTGCATGTTGCACTCGAACCCGAAGTCGATCTGTCGTCAAAAAGGTACGTGATAACACTCTAGCTCAGCGAGAGCTTCTATCTATACTAACCCTACCACAGGCTGCGTCGAGGCTCCTCAAGACTGCGATCAATGGGAGTTCACCGACCACGACATTGCTCTTGCTGGCCCGGAGACTGCCGACTATGAGCAAGTCGCTGCCGCTGCCAACGCTCGGGAGGGAAGCGACGACGACGACGTCAACAGCGAACACTGCAAAGCTTGCCGCGATGCGGGGTACGAATGTAGCAAGAAGTGCGGCGCCGACGATATGATATGCAAGGCTCTGTGTCTGTGCGCGAGTACTACGGAAGACAATTGCGGCAAGTGCAAGTCCGTCGACTGCCCACGCACTTAGGAGTGAGGGGTCGTCGAGTGTCGATGTGAGCGATGATGGTAATTCTGACCGAGATGCTGGAAGCTGGATGAGACTGCGGGTTTTCGGGTTCACGTCCGAAACTGGAGGCGGTTCCTGGTCTTCCTTCCTCCCCCAAAAAGGATCACGATCTTCGTAGATCTGATATCTAATGACACGCTTCCTTCTTGGCCATTATCTTGTTTCACATGCGTGATGGGTAAAACTGCGCGCTCGATCCAGAACTACCCGTATTAGTCGTTGTGATCGCAGTCAAGCTAATCCTTCTTGGGGTAGTTAGAAGAGCTGAGCCCGAGTCTGGAGTCGCATCTCGATGTGTGAGGTCGATGCAACGTGCCGATCTTTCACTTGATGGGTTTCCGAGCGTACACGACAGTCCCAGGCAAGTACGCGTGCGTCCGATAGCTCTTCAACTCCTTGCGCATCTGCGCTAGATGCAGTTGAGCACGTGCAACAGACCACTGCATCATGTCAGCTTAATCCACGACACCAATCTCAGCAATACTCACACCGCCAACCTGCGTCAACAACCTCAGCATAAACCCCTCGACCCCATCCATCAACCTCAGCTGATTCCACCGCCCAATATTCTTCAGCTTCTTATCCGTCGGCCACCCATTCATCGGCCACTTATACTCCATAACCGTCACATCCACAAACCCCGCTCGCCGTATCCTCTCAGCACTCTCCTCCCAAATCGTAAACGTCTTGCCGAACCGATCACCCATCTCCACGACTACTTTCCCCCAGGTATGGTAGAAGTGGTCTGGCCCCATTGACCCATCATCGGATGTAGGACACACGGAGTGCTCTACTATTTCTATCCAGCCGCCTGGTTTGGTGTGCTTGTAGGCTTGCTGGAAGAAGAAGTCCCAATCTGGGATGCAGCCGAAGAGCTCGCGGATGTGGATGAAGTCGAAGTGGTTGGGCGGGAAGGTCCATTCGAGCGAGACGTCGTCGATTTCGAAGTGGCAGTTTGGCGGGACCCATTCGGGTTGGATGGGGGAGAGGTCGGTTCCTGTTACTGTTGCTGAGGGGTATTGGTCTGCCATATCCTATACGTATCTACATTAGCCTACTTCGGAAGAGGAAATGTCTGGGCAGCATACAATTGCCCATATGCCGGTTCCTGTGCCGCAATCTAATATCGTCTGTGGATTAACCAGCGGCGCAAGATGCAGCTTCTGGTCGAGCGTCAGGAGGTACATGTGGTGCGCGAAATCCAGTATCTCTTTCGCCAGCTCATCATTCGGTCCCCAGTATGCGCCGTCGCGGTATGCGTGGTACTGGCGTCCATTCTCCATGCGGTGGTGGAGGATGGACGAGGCTAGCGAATCGGTCTCGTCGCCAAGGAGGCTGCCGCTGTCGAAGGCTGAGTCGGACGAGAAGCCAAGGCCATCGTCGTCGTCTACGGGGGAAGCTTCCGAGTCTTGTGGCGCTGCGTGGTGTACGGGGGCGTGTTGTTGTGGGTACGAGGAAGAGGAAGGCGCGTCGTCTCCTAGATGCACGGCGCTATCCTGCTGGTGCAAGCCGATGCCCTCGAAAGGCTTCGGGGAAGATGAAGACGCCATGGTGCTGTCGTGAGAGTGCGCGGCGGGGAGGAGTGGGAGATCTCGACGCGACGCCCGGAAACGACGGGTTACATATTGGAGAGTTGGAGCCGATGCACTGGGAAGTTGCTGGACGCTGGCCGGCCGCTGACTCTCGTTTGGAGGCGTCTGTCAATGGGCGAGGGGTCTCTGGCAAAGTGGAGCATTGCACCGATGGCGCCGCGTTCGCGCAGCATCCCCGAGTAGATCCAGCGGATCGGTCGTCTGCTCCGGTCGCTGCCATTCGTTGATGCGCGTGTAATGCACGCGCAAAAGGAACGGTGCTGCATCGCCTGCATGGCTGTTAGAGGCGTCGGGGTAAGCGCGTGCTGGCGGCACTCTACCGACGTTGTACGAAGACTCTGGGTGTCCGAGGCAGTCAGGCCATTGGCGAGCCTGCCAACAACGTCAAAAAGGAGGGTGTCGATGAATGCATCTCGTGATTGATGGCCTGGCTCATTTGCGGGCCGCAAACGGCGTCATTCGCTTCATCGCCGCTGTCTAATCGGCCCTTTTGGCAGGCGGGACGGGTTGGAGAGGGTGGGCCAAGAGCACCTCTACAGTGGATACTCGAACTTTGTTGTAGAAGACGAAGAACAGGTTGAGAGTATGACCAAAGTCCATCGATGATCTCAGGCGACTTGACATGGAAAAACCAACTGCCGACGGCGAAGCGCATGCGGCGCAGCTCCCTTACATTATTATTGGCTCTGGTAAGCGACGGTGACGCCGCATACATGCTGCACCACACGGTCTGACCAGCTCGCAGGAACCGCTGGACTTGCACTCGCACAGGGGCTCCGCAAAGTATGTACATCGTCTGTGTAATGCAAAGAGTAGCCTCATTCGAACAACTAGGCGAACATCCCGTGCGTCGTATTCGAGAAGAACGCTGCCACGCATGGCGAGCGCGACTGGAACATGGGCCTTCACTGGGGCGCGCCAGTCCTGAAAAGCCTCATGCCAGATGGCTGGTGGGACCGCATCCAGAGCGTCCAGGTCGACCCGAATGTCCCCACGAAAGAGCAGGACACGTTGAAGTGGCTGCGAGGCGATACCGGAGCGCTGGTTGCAGCCATCACCTTCGGCCCTTTCTACCGCTTACGGAGGAGCAAGTTGCGCGACTTGTTAATGCAAGGCCTTGACATACACTTCGACAAGCGCTTACACGACGTCTCATACTCACCTTTATTCCAGTTGTCCACTGTAATAAGGAAAAAGTATTACTACATTCTAGGGTCTAGTTACATTATAGCCTTCGCGTGTTAATATACATTGTTTCTAAATATTTCTACCTGCGCGCTATTCCTGCAATTGTGTAGCAGCAAGCCGACGGGACGGGACGGGTTGACTAGCCGCACAGCCTGCAGAACGCCGACACTCTGTACTTGTGTTTATTAACCTGCAGCCAATAGAATTAAAGCTTTAATTAACTAATAAGATTTCCTGCTTTTTTTCTTTATACCTGTTCAAATTCTAAAGCTCTGCAAGCACAGCTATTCTAACTCTACAACATAGCGAAAGAACAAAAGACAACAGCCTAGAGCATAAAGGTTATAAGAAAGAGACAGAACGTAATAAAAAGAAGAAAAATATCAAAGAGAGCTACTATATTAGAAGATAGTACAAAGAATGTATAAGCACTTAAAGACTAAGCGCCTTACGCCGCTACTTAACTAGGCTAACGCTAACAACGCTACTCTACACTACTACTATTACCTTCTATATTACTTCTTATAAATAATACTCTATTATAGTATATAGATTTATTTACGTGTAAAGCCTATAGCTTTCTCTACTACAGCTCTTGCGTATTACTATTACTAGAGCTATATAGGTACTATAGCCTTAATATACTTATTAAATAGTAGTAATTCTTCTATATATTATACTAGAAAGAGTCTAGATCTTTGCGCACTATAAGTAGAAAGCTAGAGCTTATATAGTGTAAGACATGTAGGCTAAGCTAACTTGCGCTCTTACTAAGAAAGATACGCAACTAAATCTATAACTAGATACTTATTAATTATAAGTTTAGCACTAAAACTATCTTTGTATATAACGCAAAGAGTTTTAAAATATAGTAAAGGTTTAGAAAGCGTACTACTAGTTATAGAGATACATTTAACTAAACTCTTATTAGTAAGTATATCTATAGTAAGCTATAGCCTACTATACTATAGTAGTTATAGCTTAAAGTTAAAAGTACTAAAGCGCTTATAGAGTGCTTTAATTAGTTGTGCGCTATTAAACTTATTAGCTATATATAATAGGTTAACTTCTATATTATATAGAGAGTTTATCTACTTACGTAGAATTCTATAGTATTTAAGTTTCTTTATATATACCTAAATATTAAGTATATTAGTGTATTATTATTAGATATTACTATACATAAGTAAGTATATATTAATTAAGAGCTAGCTAAAGTGCGCAAGAATATAAGAATAATATACTTTAATAAGGTATAGAACGTAGATAAAGATAGTAGGTTTCTAGAGTTAGAGAATACCTAATCTAGCTAATTAAATAAGAATAAGAATAAAGTTTATATTAATAACCTCTTTAAAGACAATCTCTTTAAAGACAACGTAGTAAATATAGCTATAACCTAATAAGTAGTATATAGTTATAACTTTAGCGTCTTTAAATAGACTTCTATTACAGAACTTTAGCCCTCTATAGGTAATATTTATTTTTTTTCTCTGCGTACGCTAACACTACCTGTAGAATAGTAAGAATATTCTAGATCTAGAGTATAGTAGAAACCTCTATATTCTTACGCTACCTCTAATATACGCCTTTATTAATAACTAGTACTAAGAAAGAAAAGATATAAAAGAAGAAAAGTACTCTAAGAATAAGTATATAATCTATATAGACACGTTATTCTTTTATAAAGCTAGTTACTATAGTAGTAATCTATTTATTACTACTATTAAGGCCTACTATATTACTTACTCTATCTAGTCTATAGTTATTAATATAAACACTAGATAAGAGAAGAGATAGTAAGTATTTGCGCGCTTTACGTTTAAGAATAACTAGCTAATATCTATTAGAATTACTAAGAGCAAAGCGCTAGTTATCTTTCTCTACACTATTATATTAAGTAAGAGCTACTTAGCTAATATCTATAATATATACTTTAAGCTAGGCAAATAGTTCTATAGTATTTATATCTTAGACTAGCGTAAGGTTAACTTTCTACTATTATTCTATAAAGATAGTACAGCTTACCTTAGACCTGTATACTATAAGATCTACGCTAAGCTTAAGCGCCTAGTAAAGAAAAGTATGTAGATAGTGCCTAGATAGCTCTACTCTATAAGAAATAGTACTAGTGTACTCTACTTAAAATAGATTTACTATCTACTTAAAGAGAGAGAGGTAGTAAGTAGCTAGAAGAGATAAATAATAATGCTACCTTAACGCTTAATTTATTTGCTAATATAAATGTGTAAATCTATACACTTTGCCTCTAGTAGTATTAACGCTAGAATACTAATACCTAAAGCACTATAGAAGAACTAGAATCTTCTAACTAGAAAATAAGTATAATACTACTATAGAACTACTTAAGCTACGTATATATAGCTATATATTTCTATATTATTGCTATTATGTAATAACACCTCTTAAGTGTTACTACATCTATCTCTATCTATCTATACCTAACTCTAGAAGTATTAGCTAAGAAGTGTAAAGGTTACAAGAGTATTACTTTATTACTTATATAGCTATAGCAGCTATATTAAACATTTAGAACGTAGCTAGAAGAAAATAGTATAGATAGTAACTCTATTATTATTATATATATATATTATATAAGTAACAAAGATATAGTAATATAGCTAATTTATACTATTCTTCTTCTAGATAACGCAAGTCTGCGTGTAATATAATATCTAGGTTTTAGAGTTCTATTCTATAAAAGCGCTACTCTAGAGAATATATTACTTTGTCTTCTTTATACTAGAATAGTTTTTAAAATTAGTTATAGAGCTAAAGTAATAAACTACGCTTAGTAGAGTAGACAGACTATCTAGTTAGCCTATATCTAGTCTTAGAGTTTCTAGTTCTAGCGTAGCCTGTAGGCTAGTCTATAGATAGATTAGTAAAGTAGTCTAGAGATAGATCTATAGACTACTAAATTAGCTCTTTTCTTTACTCTTTTTACTCTCGCTAATTAATATACGTTGCCTTTTCTATTTATCTAGAGTACTATCTATATATATACTATATATACTCTTCTATATAGTATCTACGCTTAATATCTTATTATTAATACTATAGAAGATACTTTTTAGTTAATTAGTATCTAAGAGAGATTAGGTTTGCTTTTATAGATAGATAGAGAATATCTAAATCTAGTCTAGAGTAGATAGTGTATAATAGAGGCTAATAACGCTGCTACTAATATGCTGTATAAGTTAGTAAAGCTACTATATAGTAGAATAGAAGCTTATATAATACATACTAATATACCTAGAAGAATAATATCTCTACACTAATATTATCTACTCTAACGTAATTACTATTATTTACTATACTAGTAGTATTAATATCTATATTCTAGATAAGTGCGTTGTCTTCTACGTGCTATAACTTAGACTTAGAGTCTAGAGTCTAGACTATAAGGTTTAATTAGTAATCTATTATATAATATAGATAGGTCTATAAGTGCAGAGCATAACATACTCTTAATAGTTAGACTACACTACTTTCTACGCAGAACGCACTCTATACATAGTTAGAACTTTTTCTACTTCTTTAGCGTAGTAACCTAGTTATAACTTATAAGCATCTATAAATATTACTTATTAGCTTTAGTATATTCTAAATAGATAGTAAGCTTTTTATATTTAGATTACGTAAGAGCTAACATTATAAAGTGCTCTAATACTATAGCTAGCTTTATAGAGTCTCTTAGAAGCTATATAAGTAGCGTCTTTAAAATAAGCTAACTAATAGTTATATTATTCTTACCTACTTATTATAACTTTGCATTCTCTAAGACCTAGTAGTTCTTTAGTATCTTACTTACTATAGTATAGCTCTAAAGTAGATAGTTAGAGAATGTATACTCTTATTATATAATATTATATACTTTCTACTAGGTAATAAATACTGCGTTATCTACGCGTATAAAATAGAGTTACTAGTTAACTATTATATATTAGTTTACGCGCGCTTTCTACATATCTATCTATTTCTACTAGAAATTCTTACGCTAGTCTTAAAGTTATAGATCTATATTACCTAGAGCTACTATTATTAATACTACTATAGTGTTAGTAGAGTAGTGTTTAGGTGTGTACGCAGACGTTACAGAGGTAGAGAAGGTAATATAGTTATAGTGTCGCTGTTTATAGAGTATAATATTAGTTATCTTATTACTATATTTTATTTTTACCTTTATCTATCTTAGCCTATATATTTCTTATTACCTAATTTTCTATAATTACGCTAACTATTCTTCTAACAAACCTCTACGTTATTATATTAGTATACTTTTTATAAATATTTATTTGCTATAGCAACTATTACTACACTACTTAAAGAAAAAACAGAATTCTCTACTACTAATAAGATAGCTACTTCTCTTTCTACCTTACTCTAATCTACACTATTAACTTTTTTCTTCTCTACGCTCTTATCTAATTATATTTAGACTTTGTTAAGGCCTGTTAGCACGCTCTTATGTTTTGTTATTAGCTCTATTAACGTCTACACGCGAATTACTAGAGTACCTACTCTTAATATTATTATAAGTAAACTACTTATTAAAGTTCTAGATATATAGATGCTATAAATTCTTTTAATTATAGAACTAATTTACTAACACTCTTAGTTTACCTAGAACGCTAACTAGCGCATCTATAAAATAAGCCTTACATTCTAGCGCTAAGCCTTTAATAACTCTATTCTTAAGCTACTACGTAGTAGATTTACGTAACTAGATTAAGCTTTCTACATTAGCTCTAGCGACAACATTATAGCCTCTAAGTTCTTACCTAAGAATATAGTAGTAGAATTTAACTTTACGTATAGTAACTACTATATTCTCTTATAACTAATTATTATAATAGTGCTAGCTACTAATCTATATAAAGAGAAGAATATATTAACTAAGAATATAGAGTTTGTGTATTAACCTATAGTAGAGAAACTAAAGAACTATACGCTTCTGTAAAAAGAAGGTGCTAACGTAGTTACGCCTTAGTAGGCTAATAAGATACTATACTATTAGGTCTCTACTATAGAGT